TCAATTTGCACTATTTCTGGCAGTCTGCAAAGGCCCTAAGACTGTGATCCTATGTAAGGGTAAGTCTGGCTGAACTCCATGGATTCTTCTAAAAAAACACAATGCATAGGACAGAACTATATTGCAAGGGTGAAAGCAGAAAACCGGAAATCTTTGTTTAAAGATTTCCAAAGAAAGAGAGACCACAACCCTTCAAGCAGTCTATTCTACTCTCAAACAGTTCTTACAGTAAGGACGTTCTTCCTAACATTTATATGGAATCTTTCTTGTAATTTGAAACCTTTGGTTCATGTTATATTCTCTGGAACAGCAGAAAACTAGCTCACTCCATCTTCTATATGAATAAACTGTATTCAAAATAAATAAACTGTGTGCATATGGTTTTTATTTTTATTTTTATGATGGAGCCAGTGCTTTTCATTATATTCTCAAAGAGATCCATGCTCCCAAAAAAGACTGCCACTGTACTATACTCTCTTGAACTCAATCCAATAACAATGATGGCAATAATGACATAAATGCTAATTATTGGACAACTTGCTTGTATAACCTCACAGAAGTCCCATTATGTACAATGACACAGTAAAATGATGTTCCTTATATAAAACAGCAAAATCAAAGTTTCCTTTTTGGAAATTTTTGCATGTGAATATTTTTGAACTGTAGTTAATTGTATCCATGGATGCAGAATCCTTGGTTATGGAGGGCTGACTGTATTTCCATTCAAGAAACTGATTTAGGTCCAAAACACACTACAGAAATAATCCAGTTTGAGATCCCTTTAATTGCCCAGGCCCAATGCAAGGGAATTCTGGGAGCTGTAGTTTTTTGTGAGACATTTTGTGAGACATCTTTTAGAGAGCTCTCATGTCACAATAAACCACAATCCCCAGGATTCACTAGCACTGAGCTAGGGCAGTTAAAGCAGTCTTAAACTTGCTTACTTCTGCAGTGTGTTTTGTACCTCAGTTATCTCTGAAATCAGGAGAGCTTCCAACATGACCACATACCCCAAATGTCTAATTTTTCTGCCCTACTCTTCCCTCAGCCTAGACTAGTTCAAAAATGAGCTAAGCTTTCTTGCCTTTTTAAAAATGAAAACAAGTTTTGATCACCAGCAACAATGGACCACTCAATGCATCTAATAGTCAAATGTTCTCCATGAAAAGCTTGTGGCAGCAAAAATTCACTAGTCTTCCATGCACCACAAAGCTTTTTGTTGTTTTAGGGCCTTTACAGACTGCCAGAAATAATGCAGATTGAGACCACTTTAACTGCCCTGGCTCAGTGCTAAGGAATCGTTGGAACTGTAGTTTATTGTGGCACCAGAGCTCTCTGACAAAGAAGGCTCAATGTCCCAGAAAAAAATACAATTCAATCTGCATTATTTCTGGCAATCTGTAAAGGCCTTTACTCTCTATTAATGGAGCTATCCAGGGTGCTAAATCCCTCACACCTTTAAAGTATGGAGCAGAACTTGGAGTGGATTCATACTGACAGAGATGCCATCACCTCCCACTAGATCAAACTTGTCACAGTTCACTACCATTAGCATAGAATGAAAGAATTTTTTGCATCAGATTCAAATTGCAAAGTGAAGTTTTAGTAATTACACAGTAGCACTGTATACCCTGGGGCTCCCAAGCGAGGCATTCTTTCAGGAAGTTATAAGTATCATACCTTCTTTTTAGTTATACTTCACTTGGAATGTGCCAAATATGCTAAGTACAATTTCAGCCTGGGGCACTGTTGAAGTCTCAATTTTAAACCACAGTAAATCTGTATTTCAGCCCAACAAGGGAAGCAGATAACCCACAAGTCAAACTGATTCAAAGAGGTTTTACTTTAAAGCAGGCATGCACAAAAGTTCAGTCTTTGTGTTAATTCATTTTCCTATATAGAGATTTACACACAAATGTAACTGAGGCTGCCTTTGCACTGCAGAAATAATCCAAGTTGACACCACTTTAACTGCCACTACTCACTGCTATGAATTCTGGGAATTATAATTTTGTGAGCTCTATCAGAGAGCTTTGGTGCATCAACAAACTATAATCCTCATAGCACTGAGCCATAGCAATTGAAGTGGTGCCAACCTGGATTATTTCTGCAGTATGGATGCAACCTGAGGAGATGGATTTGGCACTCTAAGGCTGCATCCACACTGCAGAAATAATCCAGGTTGACACAACTTCAATTGCCATGGCTCAATGCTATGGGATTTTGTAGTTTGCTGTGGCAGCAGATTCCCTAACAAAGAAGACTCAATGTCTCACTAAACTACAGTTCCCATAACTCTATAGCATTGAGCCAGGGGCAGTTAAAGTGATATCAAACTGGATTATTTCTGCAGTGCAGATGCAGCCTAAGTTTAGCTTTACTGCCCAGCCAGCAGGACTTACCATCAAAATTATCTACAATAAGTAACCAAAAAGGCTAACTGCTCTTCAGAGGAGAGAAGTGATCTTTCTTCTCTCCCATTCTGTTAAATGGAATGATGAAACATTTAGGAATCTGGCAAGGGGCCATGTATTCAAGCCAGAGCATTCTAGTTAATTTACTATTTAGCCACCTCTTGAACCCACCAGCACAGATGAGGCACATGCTGGCCATATGGGAGCAGAAATGCCTCTCAAGCATTTTACAATGCTTCAGATTGACCAAGTGAATTTCTTGCACAGAGAATAATATTAAAAATAGTTTGTTGTTGTTATGTATTGCCCATTGGTCAACCCCAACTCATGGCAACCCCATGGATGAGACAACTCCTAGACCCACTATCCTCCTCTGCTCAGGTCCTGCAGACTCAAGTCTGTGACTTTTCTGATTGAGTCTAGCCATCCTGTGTGTGGTCTACCCTTCTATCTACTTCCCTCCACCTTTCCTAGCAATATTGTCTTTTCTAATGAGTTGTGCCTTCTCGTCATGTGGTCAAAATATGACAGGCTAAGTTTCATCATCGTGGCTTCCAATGAGAGTTCTGGCACTAAATCAAACATCACACAAAATGAAGCCTGAAGAACATCCCCATAGAATTTAAAGATAATATAAAATATAGATTTGCACTATTAAACTTAATTGACTGAAAGCCAGAAGAACTCTGGACTGAAGCCAGGAACACTGTCAGGGAGAAATGCAAAAAGATACCATCTGCAGCCAAATGGAAAGAGAAGCCTCAATGGATGACAGAGGAAACTCTTAAAGCAGTAAAGGACAGTAAAAAGGTGACAGAAATAGGGTCAAACGCCTGAGTGCAGCTGTTCAATGATGTGTGTACAAGGACAAAGAGAACTAGTATAATAATAATGGATTCACAGAAATGAAGATAATATAAAATAGATAATACAATAACTAATTCAAATAAAAAACCTTTGAAGATAAACCCACAGTTTTAGAAAGTGAATTGGAAGGTGCTCACGATACTTTGGAGAAATAAATCACCAGGGACAGATGGCTTACCAACAGAGCTACTTCAAAGTGCAGAGACAGGATCTTCTGTAGTTCCAACTAAAGTATGTCTACAAATATGGGGGGAGAGGGGAGAATGGCACATAGATTGGAAACAATATACTTTCCACTCCCCCAAGAAAAGGAATAACAAGGATTGCAGTAACCAGAGGACCACTGCATGAATCCCCCATTTAAGCAAAGTATTGCTCAAATTTTTACAACAGACTTTTACCATATACGGAGGGAGAAATGCCAGAACTCAGGCTGGGTTCAGGAAAGGAGGAGCCACTGGGGTCATATTGCAAACATATGTGTAGAGACAAGCCCTACAATACAACCATATCTTTCAGACTCACCAGACAGAGACTCAAAACACATTGGCCAGAACTAAGAACAGCTGCATGCTTAAGTGTCCCTTATACATGCAGATGTTTTTTGGGTACTGTGGAAGATGGTATTCCTGTCCTCTCCACACAGCACTCAAAGCCCCCTTTCCAATCTATTTTAAAGCCCCAAAACTGTCTCATACAGACCGTCAATGCTGCACTGTGAACAGGCAGGATCAGAGAAGCATCTGACAAATCCCTTCCTCTTCACACCAGAGGCATAATGTTTATAGAAGCACTGAAACCTCTGAAGGATCTCTGTGGATCTCAGCACTGAGATCATTGTTCTGTGCCCAGGAATGGGGGGACAGGTGCCAGACCTTCTCTGATTCTGCCTGCTCACACTACAGCATGGAATGCCTGTATGAGGTGCCTTTGGGACTTTAAAGTACGGTAGGTGTGGGGTGGTATATGGTTATATGGGTCAGCGCAACATAAGGCCCACATGTGGATCATTACACTATGGTGAACTGAGGCCAAGGATTCATATCAAGTATTTTTCAGACCCACCAAATGAAAAGGATGAGATCAACAAGGCCAGACTGCAACCGAGGAATAATATACTACAGAAATGACCCAGACTGCAACCCAGGAATAATATACTACAGAAATGACCCAGACATAAAAGGTCCTATTCATCATCTATATAAATCTTACTTCAGTCCATTCAAGAATTTACTTCCTTGGAACTGTAAGTCAGGATCTTTAAAGCAATGAACTACATCACTCATGTTATCACCACAAAACATATTCAGGGTTAGCAAAATACGATATCATAAAAAATCTATAAAACAGTTATAACCTTATTGGACCAACCACAAAATACAACATGCAAGCTCCACTGGCTTCTTCATCAAGCAAATGTGTTAAAAATCATATTGGATAAGAAGAAAAAAGACTGTTAGTCACAGGTCTAAATTGTGTCAAGATGCTTTTGTAATCAGTTTAGATGGTCTGGAGAAATATCAAAGATCACTCCCCTTTTTAGCCACATGGACTCTGTGAGACAGAGTCTTAAAATGCACGCAATAAAATTTTCAACTCCATTAGCAACAGAAAAAACTGAGATCCATACTGCTTCTATCCTGTGTGAAACTACTCTTGGGCAGAGAACACTGAATTTCTCAGGAAGCATCAGTAGCATCTATAAAAAAAAACCTTTACGTTACTGTAGTGTAGTGGTTTAATGCTGGACTACAACTCTGGAGACCAGGGTTTGATTCCCAGCTTGGTCATAAAACTCACTGGGTGACCTTGGGTAAGTCACATGCTCTCAACCTCAGAGGAAGGTAATGACAAACCTCCTCTGAACAAATCTTACCAAGAAAACCCCATAAGTTCACCTTAGGGTCAGAAATGACTTGAAGGCACACAACAACAACAACAACAACAACAACAACAACAACAGAAAATTCCTGGATATGTTTTCTGGGTGTAAGGATACTGCATTTTAGCCGCAATTTCACCACAGATGGACAGATTGTTTCTATATACTGTATATTGTTCATTCTTCTAACACTCCTGGCTTTTGCATATCCTTTCACCATCAACCTCATGAGATGCTAGCCCCAGTGCTTCACCATACTTTCTATAGAATGTTCTATAGAATGGTACCATGACAATTAAAGCAGAATAATACTGCAATAAATGTAATGTGAATGAGTCCCAAGTGCTGTAGACTACATTTCAGAGGAAGGAAATGGCAAACCAACTCTGAGTATTTCTTATGTAAGAAAACCCTATGAAATTCTTTCTGTTGTCATAATTTGACAGATGACTTAAAGACAGAGAGAAGACAAAAGAGCTAAGCAGATGGCCAATTGGGCCATTTTGGGGGCAGGGAAGGGGAGGGGCAGCCACACGATCGGCACCCCAATCCCTTCCCCAGGTCGTCCTTGGAGCATCCGGCCCTCCCCACGGCCAACGCTCCAAGGAGGACCTCCCGCTGCAGCGTCCACACACACTGCAGCAGAAGAGTCGCCGAAGGTGCGCCACAAGCTTTTGTGGCACACCTTTGGTGACTTGTGAAAGGAGCGCCAATTTAGC